ACGGTCAAGCAATCGAAAGCAATTTTCGATAATCGAACTTCGGTTTTTGCCTCCTCTCAAGTACTCGTCTGTACTAATCTCCCCGTGAAGATCCGTGGTGGAACACCCGCTTGCCGTAACAGGCGACTATGCTTGCCGTAAAAGGCCACTATGCTTGCCGAAAAAGGCCACTATGCTTGCCGAAAAAGGCCACTTTGCTTGCCGTAAAAGGGCAATATGCTTGCCGTAAAAGGCGACTATGTTTGTCGTAAAAGGCGACTATGTTTGTCGTAAAAGGCGACTATTCTTGTCGTAAGAGGCGACTAACCGGATGAGGTGGTCAGGCTCGCTGACTTGGTCGATGCATGTCATTGTATCCCATTTGAGTAGATCGATGCTCATGATTTCAATCACTGGATTGTCTGGTCCAGACTCGATTATTTACAGACCGCTGTCATATAGCTGGAATATTGCTGAGTGCGGCGTTAAACAACAAACAAACAAACAAACCATCAAACAAACAAACAAACCTTGCTTATGTTTAATTATGGTTTAAGGCCAGTGTATATTTTGAAAAAAACAGTGCTGGAGTAAACAGTTAGTTTTATTGTTGGGTGTGATCTAGTTTTTACTGAACATGACTTTAATAGAGCAAAGTTACACTAATCGATAAATTTCGAGATTCATCGGTTGAGAAGATCCAATCATGAATTTAAATGCTGCATGGAATTACTTGACAAACATGTTTAACTGATCATGTTTCGTCACGCCTCGTCTCCGAGCGGGACATATGTCAAATAACTAATTACACTAATATTTCAAATCGAAGCAATTCAAATTATCTCAATGTGTTCAAATCAACCAAACTGCCGTTACAAACTCATCATAGCTAATTATTTTTTCACACTGGTTAAACTAATTACACCTTTTCTTTCATAACCATAGTTACCATTAGGCTTTTGAAGTATAATTGTCTGAGGTGCTAAATTCGTTGTGCGGAGTTGCGTCCCTTGGGTGTGCTAGAATCCTATGGTCGTTGGTATAAATCGGCGACTCACCTTGCTCATGATTCATGGTTGGTCAGCACCATTCCTGTGCTGGTGGGATCTTCCAAATTGGTAACGGTCAAAGACCTGGATCACTTCAGATTTTCAACATTACGCCGTGAACCCGTGATTCAGCTAATCCTGACATGTCTAAGGGCCGTCACTCTGCACAGCGGAGATCCGCCCATACGGCAACAGGGTCACCCGTTGCTCCAGGCAGAGAAGCCAGCGTTTGACTTCACAATAAATAGCACCTAAAAAAATCCGAAAACTCTTCTGTTGTTACATTTCACCTTACCCCATCTTCCCGAGGCAAGAGCGTTAACTGACTTTACAAGTCCAGTTTCCACCCTTGCCGAACTAGACTGTAATTCCTGGGCTCGATCGTAGCGCCACCAGTGGCTATTGCGAGTTATGTCCATTCTGCGTCTCCCATATGGACCAATCAGATTCCACCTCTCGTATCACATGCATTTGCTTCAAACAAAATGGTGGCGCCCAGTCAAGACGATCTGATCGACCATCAAGATCTATTTTGTGATAAAAAGATTCTTACTTCTCGAAGTACACCAAATGACGTGAGCACCTTGGTTAAACACAAGAAAAGATTTGGAAAATATCTGTTGACAACGAGCTGGCGATGCACATGCTTTGCAAATCCTGCAATCGACCGAACTCTGCATGACAGTTTACGAACCGGATTTCGATTTCGGTGCGTCATTTTGATTGGACTATGCATAGACTCGTTAGTCCAGCCAAATTGTAATTCCATAACACCAGCCTAGTTCGGCAAGGGTGAAAACTGGACTTTTATGGTCAGTTGACTCTCTTGCCTCGGGAAGATGACCTTACCCATGTTCTTTGTTTCATTTCGATCAACAACTGCATATTTTTAAAAAGACATCTATGTCCACACCATTCCCGTGCTCGTTGGTTTCACCAAGGAGGAAACCGTCTTAGATTTGCTTCACTTTAGGCTTTCCTCCCAAATTAAGCTGAATATGTATACTGTCCAAGAGTTAAACTGACCCACTCCGTGAAAGAAATCCGTGAGAAACAAGAAATAAAAAAGTGTCGTTAAATTATTATTCATATCGTGAAGAAATCACGATACAGCGGGTTATCGATCTGCACTGTCGTCCTACCTCCAGCATCCTGGCGGCATATCATCTTTGACATCCATCTGCAATGATTACTGATCAGATCGATTGATTCCCAAACTGTCATCGATCCCCACATCTTAGTTTTTACACCATCTCTCACTGTGGAATTAATAAGCTCAGAGTGTCACCACGTTACTGCCACTTTGAAGACCAATCAGCGTCTGTTATTTGAGAGGGTATCCGTCGTGAATAATATATGCCACACCTCGGTGCATATTGTATGACGAGATACTGACGGGGCACCCGGCACAGCGAGCTACCGTTGTTTCAGACAGGTTAAACGCCGTGATAGAGCTGGAATGTTGCTAAAAGCGCGTAAAACACCTCACACTCGGACAGGTTAGACAAGAGGTTATCGGGAATCCCTCCCCAAACAAGCAGACCAACATCATATGCAGATGACGCTGATCTCCAACACCGATGCTGAACAACGCATGCTCGTTTGTTTGAGTAGAATCGCCTGTATTTCTTCTGCATCGTTGAGAAATAGTGTTATTTTGAAACGATTCTGGAGAATACCATTTGTGGCTTGTGGTGTCTCAAGGAATGCAAGTTTGCTCTGATATGGGCTTGTGGTTAATATTTTCTTTGGAATGGGTGTGATATGATTGCTTTGGATTGACCACGAGGCTCACATTCGGGCGAGGAATGTTGGCATGATACGGAGAGGTCATAGGTGTTGATATTTATTGTTTGGAGAGGACAGTTGGCGTCATACAAGACATACACTGGCGAGTGTAGCGTCTTCACATTGTCCATATGCGGCGTCCGTGGTTTAAATATTGTGTGTTAAATATTCAGTAAAATGAAAATATTTGCTTGCAAAAATATTGACAGTTTTATGAAAACAAAAATGCATGGAAGCAAACACGTTTTGAGCGAAGAAGATAAAAAAGTAAGTACCTCAGTTACCTCGGAATTATTAGCAAAACTCTATTAATTTATTTTTTTTATTATTTATTTTATTTTTTGGGGGGTGGGGGGTGTAGCACGTAACGCGTGGTCTTGTATTTTGTTCGATGTGGTTTACGTTGAGTTGTGCTTTATTAAGAAAGCAGTGATATTGTGACGTCACGACCCGGGTTCGATTGCCTAAGTGGGGCCGATGTGTGATGCCGACACAGTGCCCATACCTAAACTCACTCACTCACTCACTCACTCACTCACTCACTCACTCACTCATTGACAAAGTGAAACTGATGAACACTATCGATATCACCGGTTCTTTTGAAAGTGCGTGCAAGAACATTTTGAAGCGTAATTACAATGGGATATTATAATTAAATATGGTTGTGCTGAATATGATTCATCGTTGTAGTTAATACTTGATGAACATCGACAAAGCGTTGGACATTAATATTTCATGGCGATAATGTTTTGGCTGTACTTTTTCAGTTTCACTCGTCTTTGAGGCGATACATTATTTATCAGAGTGCAGGTTTATCTGTGTGGCGGTATCGGATGTCCCAATCTCAACGAGCCGTGCAAAAAACTCACCATCATGGCGATGAATCATTCCTTGTGTGGCGTTGTTCATTGCAAGTTCAAATCGATTTAACGCTTTTGGTCGCACTTCTTTTTTGATGGTTTATTTTTTTTTCTTATTTCACAAGAAAGATCGGTAGGTCATTAAAAAACGAAACAAATAGTTGTACTTTTGTGCTTGGCTTTAAAATATTTATATTTAGAATGCTTGTGTTTGTAAACACATCTTTTATGCATTGACCTTTCTCTCCATGTTTCAAAGCTGCAAACCAAAATTACAGAATACTTTGAAATATATTACTTCAAACATTCCTCGTCCGCTGAAGATAAAATAATTGGTATCTTAACTGCAAATAAAGCACGAAAATCCAGATCCGGGCTGAGAATTGCAAAACATGTTTGCTGCAAGAGGCATGGCAGCCATATGACGGCGGGCTGTAAATAATCGAGTCTGGACCAGACAATCCAGTGATTGACATCATGAGCATCGATCAACGCAATTGGGAAACGATGACATGCATCAACCAAGTCAGCGTTCGTCACGAAATGCTGAAATATTGCCGATGTGACGTTAAATTCCATTCACTCACTCACTCACGAAGTCAGCGACCCTGACCACCCGATCCCGCCTCCTACGACAAGCATAGCCGCCTCTTTCAACAAGCATGGGTGGCTGAAGACCAATTCTAACCCGGATCTTCACGGGTGCTAATTTACTTGTCCCAGCTGTGCAAACTAAAATGACTCGAGATTGTGGCACTCTCAGTGTGTTAACAGATTCAAATTACAGGAATATTTATCCTTTTATTGTGTTAACCGTGTCTATGATTTGTAGTTCGCCGCGAAAAGCTGCAAAATTGCTGATTCGGCATTAAGCTGCAACCATTCTCTCTCTCTCTGAGATTGGAAGCACGTGACTGGAGTTTGGTCAGCTTTCCGACGTTTCACACCTGGAAACAATGTCCACTGATTATTGTCCGGCGCACGTGCAGCACGCGATTCTACGGGCGTGTCAGTAAGATCACGTGCGGCTTTATTTAACTTACTCATTCAGCCAACTGACATAATACTTAACATTGGTCAGCGTTGTCCATCGCGAGATGTGTTGGTCAGAGAACTGTGTGCATGGTGATCGGATTAAGAATAATTTAAATTCAACTGAAGGGGAATATGGAACGATATTACCTTTAATCTATTCGTGCCGTGACTGACATGTCACATGACATGATCTGTCACCACCTTGATGCAAGTTGTCAAAATGAACAGAGTCTGGAAGAGCTTAACTGATGTGGCTGATGTAACGTCGGAGTCTTTGATCTCTCAACAGGTGCGCGAGTTGGTGGGGCGATGTTCCTGTCCGATCCAGTTTCAGCTCATCAAGGTCGGAGAAGGAAAATACAAGATCGGAGACTCCCAAACACTCATTTTCGTCAGGGTAAGTTCATTTGACTTTTTAATGTTATTTATTGAAAGTCACGTGACCCTGTTGTCAACCGTGGTGTTGGTGGCGAGAGGACGTGTCTGTTTTGTTTATTTGTCTGTTTATTTATTGTTTAACGCCGCAATCAGCAGTATTCCAGCTATATGGCGGCGGTCTGTAAATAATCGAGTCATTGGTAATTGACACCAGGAGCATCGATCCACGCAATTAGGATACGATGACATCGATGATCTGTTAATATTAGAATCTGGACCAGACAATCCAGTGACTGAAATTATGAACATCCATCTACGCAAATAAACAACCAAGTCAGCGAGGCTCTTACGGACGTCTCTGCAATTAGGTCAATGGAAAATATCAATAGTGCTCACTTTTTATGTTTATTAAGCTATTAATCAAGACGAGTCGTAAGTGAGTGAATGTTATTTAAAGCCACAGACAGTGTTATTCTAGCTGTCACAGCATCGATATCCTGTACATACAAGACAAGATATCGCCCTCAGCAATATTCCAGTTAAACGGGGGCACGGGTGGCTCAGTGGTCTAAGGCGCCGCAATTCGCTGTGCAGAGTTGCGTCCCTTCGGCACGCCAGAAACCTATGATTGTGGGTTCGATCCCGGTTCGCCCCGATTATGTTTCTAGTTTGTCAGCATCATACCCGTGCTCGTGGGTTTCACCGAAGTGGTAAACGTCTAAGACCTGCATCACTTTGGGCTTTCCTCTCACATTAAGCTGACACGCCGCGATATAACTGGAATACTGTTAAAAGCGGCGTTAACCCCAACTCACTCACTCACTCCAGTTATACAACGGCGGTCTATAAATAATTGAGTCTGGACCAGACAATCTACTGATTCACATATTGAACAACGATCTACGCAATTGACATGCATCAACCAAATCAGCGAGCCTGACCACCCGACTAAGTACGTCGTTAAACACAAACAAAAAAACCCAAACAAACAAAAACCATCGGACAGTTAGTTGCAGTACATGTATTTTAAATCAATCCCTTCACTCCAGCCCCGTGAAGATCCGGGGTAGAATAGGTCTACAGCAACCCATGCTTGCCATAAGGGGCGAAAATGCTTGTCGTGAGAGGCGCCTAACGGGATCGGGTGGTCAGGCTCGCAACTTGGTTGATGCATGTCATCGTATCCCAATTATGAAGATCGATGGTCATGATATCAATCACTGGATTGTCTGGTCCAGACTCGATTATTGACAGACCGCCGTCTTATAGCTGGAATATTGCTGAGTGCGGCGTTAAACAACAAATAAAACAGGATCGGATGCCATTTGGATCAAAATGGCGTCTCTTTGCATGTTTCTATTCACAACTGATGTATCTGGAACCGGGACGGTCATTGACACTTACAGACAATGCGTGGTCAACACTGCCCAGGCTGACCACTGCAAATATTCTCATACCTCACTGAATTCCTGTGGACTCAGTGTAAATACCCATGGGTTTCCAGGCAGTGCAGATCGATATATTGACCATGTTCATTATACATGTACATATGTCCAGAGCTCCAGATAAGCTGCGTATCTGCGTGAAATACGCATCGGAAATGCAGAAATACACAGTAAAATATAATCCAAGCGTTTCAAATACGCAACGAACATTACAGATACGCTACCAAAATAAAACTTGTGCGTATCATCAAAATATTGTGAAGTAACCCTGCGTATTCGATTAGCAAATCAGCAACTTATTTTGAAATTATAAACGGGCATTCCGTCAACCTTGCCAAACTCCATGATGACAGTTACATCAAGATCATTTGCCATCACACTTTCTTGTGGAAGTATCATGGTATTTTTGAGTCCTATAAAGCTCTCGAACCCACACGGCACCAGTTTGCAGGGACTAGATGAATAGTGTTTTTAAATATTTAACTTAAATACCCACATGTGTAAAAACTAGTGGGTAACAGAAATTTGAATACGCAGATAGAATTACTGATACCCAATGACTTTAAAATGCATGGGTAAAATACCCACAAAACCAAAAGCTTATCTGGAGCTCTGTATGTCCCTTTAATGGATTATCTGTTGATTAGGATTAGTCAGGTGAAAATAACCTCGACCACCCAGCGCCACTTCTAGTCGTTCTGGTTTAGATAGACTTGGTGAAGGTCTCACTTATATCCTGGTAAATATGTGTATGTCTTACTGGGACGTGTTGGAATTCATGTTGCTGACCTCAGAGACCTTTTAGAAACGGAAACTGAATCAAGTCTAGTCTATAGGCCAAAGGTGATCCCATCTACTTGGCCTTTTCGCCTCATTGACTCTCGGAATGGCTTCTGTCAAGGCGTTAATAATTGTAATCGCACGACGCAATAGTTTGTTGCGCCTCTAGACTAATCCACCAGTCATTGACCGTCTTTGTACTCTCGTCACAGTCCAAGTGCAGATTTTCTCACCGGCTTAAATCATAGGGTTGTATTCACGACAATCAAATATATACTCATCTCTGCATTTACATTTTGTTCAAAGTTTAGTGTCTGAATTATGGTAATTAACTAGAGCTATTGTTATATAAGTTAATAACATATCAGCGAAATGTATATTTTACTATCGTATTATATTATCATATAGTGTGACCCGTGAAGGTCCGGGTTAGGAATGGTCTTCAGCAACCCATGCTTGTCGCAAGTGGCGACTATGCTTGTCGATAGAGGTGACTTCGGGATTCGCTCAAGGAGGCGGTGTGGTAGCCTAGTGGTTAAGGCGTTCGCTCGTCACGCGGGTTCGATTCCGCTCATGACCATAATGCGTGAAGCCCATTCCTGGTGTCCCCCGCCGTGATATTGCTGGAATATTTCGAAAAGTGGCGTTAAAAAACCACAACCGCTCATTGAATCTGTCAAGAAAAATACAAAACGTTCTATAAACATTCCACAGGTTCGTATGCATTGCTATTGTTGGGTAATAAACGTCCGTCGAACAAAACGTAACTTCTTGTAGTGGCATAACTATGGGCATAACCTCTTATTTCCGCATAACTCTGTACATGTTCGGTATTTTATTTTCAATTTATTACAGTTAAAATCAATGGAATTTTCGACCAGTCAAGATTCCGGGGTAGAAAAGGTCTTCAGCAACCCATACTCGCCGTAAAAGGCGACTATGCTTGTCATAAAAGGCCACTCACGGGATCCGCTGGTCAGGCTGGCTGACTTGGTTGATGCATGTCATCCATCCCAATTGCGTGGATCGATGCCCATGATGTCAATCACTGGGTTGTCTGGTCCAGACTCGATTATTTTACAGACCGCCGTCATATAGCTGGAATATTGCGGCGCTAAACAACAAACAAACAAACAAACAAACAATGGAATTTTCGTGTTATATCTTTCATTTACCTTTTTCGCCAATATTAGGATTAAAGGCATCACTCTCAACGAATTGACCCCCCCCCCCCCCCCCCCCCCCCCCTCTCCCGGCCCCTGCAGGAGCGGCTGGACAGCCATGTAGCACGACTCACCATCACCCTGACCTCCATGACCCGCTAATTACCTGTCTAGCTGTGCCAACCTCACAAGCCCGGCGTGTATTGGTATAGGGGCGTGTACCTGTTGTGGGGTCAGGAGGTCGTGGTCGTGATGTTTGTACAACTAATTCCAAGTCATACCCTGTGTGTCATTATGCTCGTCTTGGGGCGGCTTAAAGTTTTTCTTCTGTTTTAGAAAATACATAATATTTGGTTTAGCTTCATGGTTCCCTTGGATGAAACAGGTGGTTTCAAGCGACGTATTTCGTTGTAAAGAGTTACCATGCCAGTATCCGCTGGCCTTCGGGTTCGAATCCAGAACGATCTGCTAGTTTTGGCATACGTCCAAAGGTAAATCTGACACGGCGTGATATAAGTGCAAAAATACTCTAAGCGGGGATAAACTCAACCAACCACAAATTTGAAAAAAAAACCTCGCTTCAAAATTAGTTTGTTTGTTGTTTAACGCCGCACTCAGCAATATTTCAGCTATATGATGGCGGTCTGTAAATAGTCGAGTCTGGACCAGACAATCCAGTGATTGACATCATGAGGATCGGTCCACAAGGTTGGGATATGCTGACATCCATCAACCAAGTCAGCGAGCCTAACCACCCGATCCCGTTAGTCGCCTCTTTAGACAATCATAGTCGCCTCTTACGGCAAGCATCCGTTACTGAAGACCTATTCTACTCCGTATGTTCACGGTTACCTTCAAAATGGTCAATGAGAGCCTTCAAATCACAGTAACCACCACTGATTGAAAAAACTCATTTGATGGCTGAGGATTCGTTCAAAATCAGTTTGTCCCGGTAACCTAGCTCAACATTCAAAACAGAATGGTTATGTCCGACTTAACACACTCGCGTAGTCACAATTCTCATGATATGTCAAGTGTATATTTAAATAGTGAGTGAGTGACTGAGTGAGTTGGGTTTAACGCTTTTAACATTATTCCAGTTTTATCACGGCGTGTCAGCTTAATGTGTGAGGAAAGCCCGAAGTGATGCAGGTCTCAGACGTTTACCACTCCGGTGAAACCCACGGGTATGGTGCTGACAAAACTAGAAACATAATCGGGGCGAACCGGGATTCGAACCCACAATCATAGGTTTCTGGCGTGCCCAAGGGATGCAACTCTGCACAGCGAATCGCGGCGCCTTAGACGACTGGGCCACCCGTGCCTCCGTATATTCATTTAGACATGGTTGATTATTACTATCAACCGTTGAGTAGTATATTTCTTGGTGTATTTAGATTCATTCCCCGCATAGGCACAACGTAGGGTAATTGTAGGGGAGTTGGACGGGTGTGGGTTCGTCTGAAGGTTCAGTTCCCGCCATGGTGCTTGTGTGAGGCAGTTAACAGAATCTCCCTCTGTCTCGCCGTGTGGCCGCGCGACTTCCATTACGTCTGCCGGTAACGCCGCACGCTAGGCTAGATCGCGTTACTCTGCAGACAGTTTACAGCACCATATTAGACAATGCGGCCACTTTGAGGTGTTACTCTAGCCCAGTGTACCAACATAAGCATGCAATAAATCAAAGGATCTGTTCGTAATCGGGTTAGGCACTTATGATCCGGAGTTATAAGCCCGGGATTCGTTGCCACCAAGTGAGTGAGGTGGTAGGGCCTTACGCCGCTCCCAGCAATACCACGGCGGGTGATTATGAGACAAAGAAAGTGAATTCTTTGAAGTTGGTGAATGATTATAGTTTTACGTCACGTTAGCAATTCTCAAGCAATATCACGACGGGGGACACCAGATATGGACTTCCCACAATTCCTTGGGAAGCGATCCCGGACCTTCAGCGATGAGATCAATATATCCCCTGATAACTACCCCGCCCCTCTTTGACGTTAGCTGGCGACGTCACCCCCAACCAAGTTGGAACCAAATTGGATTTAGTTTGTTTGTTTGTTGTTTAAGGCCGCACTCGGCAATATTCCGGCTATATGACGGCGGTCTGTAAATAATCGAGTCTGAACCAGACAACCCAGTGATTGACATCTTGAGCATCGATCCATGCAATTTGGATACGATTACATGCATCAACCAAGTCAGCGAGTCTGACCACCCGATCCCGTTAGTCGCCTCTTATGACAAACATAGTCGCATTTTACAGCAAGCATGGGTTGCTGAAGACTTATTTTACCCCGGATCTTCACGGGTCGGAACCAAATTGGAACCAACTTTCAATGCGTTGGGATTAAAAATTTAACATAAGCCTGTGTTGTAATACTTTTGAACAAAATGAAATTTATTTTGAAATTATATTTCATTTCAAAAGAATTCCCTCTTACATTTGCCCGCCTCCGTGGTCTAGTGGTAGAGCGTCCGCCCGGATAGCGGGAGGCCCGGGGTTCGACCCTGTTCGCGTCATACCAAAAGACGTTAAAAGATGGTACTTGTTGTTACCCTGTCTGGCGCTCGGCATTAAGAGGCTAAAACAAGGACTGGTTGGCTCGGAGTTAGTTTACTGTGTCTGAGTGGGGTGTCCATGTTAAACTGCAGCATGGTATCTCAGTGGGCTAGCACTATAAAACCGACTAGTACCAGCAACCAGACACACACACACGTGCATGCACGTCGCTACATAAGTGCAATAATCTTGGACGCGACGTTGAACCCCATTTTATCTCAGCTGTCTTACATTTGCCGAACTATTGTATTTCTGTGATATTTAACACGAAGAAGAGTCCCAGCTTTGACTATGGACACCGGAATATGACCACAACACAAACATAGCTGGCGTGATTTCGTGATTCAGATTACCGTTTGCTTCACAATTGCTGACTATCTACATGTGACCTTTTCTGCTTCCAGGTGTTACGTAATCACGTGATGGTGCGAGTGGGCGGGGGTTGGGATACCCTCGAACACTACCTGGACAAACACGACCCCTGCAGGTGTAACTTCCAAGGTAAGGGGAACAACTCCCACTATTACTCATTTCTAAATTGGCGCAAATATTCTTGCAAACGTACCTGTTCTCGGAGATCACATACACAATATTGAAAGAATACTCAAGATCCCCAGTATCTTCACGGGGGCACGGGTGGCCCAGTCGTCTGCGGCGCCGCAGTTCGCTGTGCAGAGTTGCGTCCCTTGGGCACGCAAGAGACCTATGATTGTCGGTTCGAATCCCGGTTCGCCCCGATTATGATTCTAGGTTTGTCAGCACCATACCCGTGCTCGTGGCTTTCATCGAAGTGGTAAACGTCTGAGACCTGCATCACTTCGGGCTTTCCTCCCACATCAAGCTGACACGCCGTGATATAACCGTAATACTGTTAAAAACGGCGTTAAACCCAACTCTCTCGCTCGTTTTCTCAAAGTCCCGGGGACTTAGTCGTCTATGCAGAGTTGCGTCCCTTGAGCGTGCCAGCAACTTATGATCGTGGGTTCGAATCCCGGTTCGCTCAGATTATGATTCTAGATTTGTCAGCACCGTGCTCGTCGCGACGTCTTTAACCCACATCAAACAGACACACCGTGATAAAAATGAAAAACTGTTCAAAGCGGCGTTAAACCCAACTCACTCACTATCTCGGCACGGCAACTGATCTATCATGCCAGCCCAGAGCAGTTAATCGCAATTGCGTCATTTCACACTTTGTGTTCTAATATGCTCCAGTGTTGCGATCGATCAACACTGGATGATTGCTCGGTAACAATGGTCGCACACTGGGTCCCTATCAATCGCAGTCAGCTCAGTGTGCAGACAGGGCAATTGCAATCAGGAGTGGAGTAGTGGAACACGCAGCGCCAGCCGACTCGAGTACAGCAGCAGGGTCGTGTATAGCTATATGGCAACAGTGTTCAGGTATTGTGGCAGTATATGCTGCGTCTCAATCAGGATTTAACGACAACATTTTTTAAAGAATTCGTAATTATCTTTTAATAAGCTGACACGATATGAGATTGGAATTGAGGGCATCATGTGATACATTCATATTGATAGGATGCGATTGTGGTGTAGGTTTATGTTAATTATTAATGGTAGAGAATGCATTTACAATAATGTCATGTGACCGTTCCGTCATATATCTTGCGATTAAATGTTCATCATAAATATATGTAGAGCGTATATATGGACCAAGTTGCGTCCCCTAGCCGTGCAAGGATTCGCTGGTTGTGAATTCCACGTGAACGTGTGTTGGTACTGATGGGTATAACCAGGGTATGAAACTCCCAAAAATTTCAGCCAGACCACAGGACTGGCTAGCTGAAATACTTGCCCGCACTGACCAAAACCTGCCTGCCAACTATAATCATGTTTCTCAGGATAAGCTAACGGGGTTTCTTTTTGGTTATATTTTATCATTCATCTTTACATGTGAATTAATGCTTATCATCGGGAAATATTTTGAATATTTTCACATATGAAATATAACCCGACCGTCGGGCAGGGGGATTTGAAAATCTGGCAGCCCGAGTTGAAATCAACCCGTCTCGGACGGTCGGGCAGGCAGGTATTTCGAACACTGGTATAACGCGGAGTTTCCTCGCTTTCCGGTTTCAGCTGTCTCCGTGTTGTAGTGGATAGGGTCTGTCCGGGGTGAGGCACGTCTGTGGTTCGATCCGCTGAAATTATGGAATTTGTTGTTACCCTGCCTTTCGCTTCGAGTTAAGGCGATATAACGAGCCCTAAAAGGCTCGGAGCAGAGTCAGTATTATGTTTGTTTGTTGTTTAACGCCGCACTCAGCAATGTTCCAGCATCTTCCCGAGGCAAGAGAGTCAACTGACTATAAAAGTCCAGTTTCCACCCTTGCCGACCTAGGCTGGTATAATGGAGTTACATTTTGGCTTGACTAACGAGTCTATGCATAGTTCAATCAAAATCGCGCACCGAAATCGAAATCCGGTTAGTAAACTGTCGTGCAGATTTCGGTCGATTGCAGGATTTGCAAAGCATGTGCACCACCAACTCGTTGTCAGCAGATATTTTCCAAATCTTTTCATGTTTTTAATCAAGGTGCTCGCGTGATTTGATGCATTTCGCGATGTAAGACCCGTTTTATCACAATATAGATCTTGATGGTCGATCAGATCGTCCTGACTGGGCACCACCATTTTGTGTGAAGCAAACGCAAGTGATACGAGAGGTGGAATCTGATTGGTCAATAGGAGAGGCTTAGAAGGGACATAGCTGGTAATAGCCACTGGCGGCGCTACGATCGAGCCCAGTAATTCCAGCCTAGTTCGGCAAGGGTGGAAACTGGACTTTTAAAGTCAGTTAACTCTCTTGCCTCGGGAAGATGTGTTCCAGCGATATGACGGCGGTCTGTAAATAAGCGAGTCTGGACCAGACAATCCAGTGATTGACATCATGAGCAATTGGAATACGATGACATGCATCAACCAAGTCAGCGAGCCTGACAACCCGATCTCGTTAGTCGCCTCTTACGACAATCATGGGTTGTTGAATCAGTATAATGAGTGGGATATCCATGTTAAACTGTGACATCGTTTCTATGTGCCTCAGCTGTGTTAGGGTGCAGGGGAGCGAATGTTTTTCCTTTCAGAACAGAGAAGATGGGCTATTAGTGTCTCCAAGCACAGGAAATTGCCAAGACATAGTTTGGCTCGCTGATTTGGTTGATGCATGTCACCATATCCCAATTGCGTGGATCGTAGCTCATGATGTCAATCACTGGATTGTCTTGTCCATACTCGATTATTCAAAGGCCGCCGTCATATAGCTAGAATACTGTAGAGCGCGGCGTTAAACAAACAAAACAAACAAATCCTTAAATGAATGTAAAAATAACAAAAATTGTCCCACAAATACGAACCCGTGAAGATTCCGGGGTAGAATAGGTCTTAAGCAACCCATGCTTGCCGTAAAAGGTGACTATGCTTGTCGTAAAAGGCGACTAACGGGATCGGGTGGTCAGGATCGCTGACTTGGTTGATGCATGTCATCGATCCCAATTGCGTGGATCGATGCTCATTATGTTAATCACTGGATTGTCTTATCCAGACTCGATTATTTACAGACCGCCGTCATATAGCTGGAATATTGCGGAGTGCGGCGTTAAACAACAAACCAACCAACCCACAAATACGGCCGCTTTTTTTGCCAACATCGTCGGTTAGATTTGAAAGATCTTACACTGCCACATTTACAAACCTAAACCCTTGTTTTCGAAGGTCTTAGATAACATTCCAGTAGGCGCCCTGACTGTTTATATAACTGAATATATGTATCAGTGAGTCATACCTTTGACATAAGCCATACTGCACCACACAAGCACGCCACACTCCGATTGTTCTTTTATACACTCAGATCCGTCCTCACTGATCAGCAGTCTCGACCCCCGCTGTAGTTGTCAGTATTCGCCGAGCAAGCCAGACGGTTGATTTTTCGAACATCGCCGAGATATATTTATTCAGAATTTTGAAATACACCAGGTCGTTGGTCTAATATTTGATCAATTCTCCCGAGTCAGGGTGACACTGGCCTCCTTTGACTCCACAAAGGTGGCAGGCCCTTTTTTTAAAGAAATGTTGACAGTGGTCTTTTGTGATTTGCCGTTTGACCCTGGGTTTTATTCTGAGTTGATTATCTGTAAGCCTGTGGTATAATGTTTTATCATTATCCCAGGCTGGTTTGATAGTGAGCTGACTTGCTGGCGTGTTTACCTAGGCATGTCGTGTTTACCTGGGCATGTCGTGTTTACCTGGACATGTATGTATGCATGTTCTGTCCTGGAAATGTAATTATGCCCGTGTTTACCTGAGCAAGTAGCAAATTCTTTGCTTGCCTGGATATGTAGGTATATATGTCTTGTTTACCTGGACATGTGGGTATTGCTATATTTACCTGGACATGATTGTATTGCTATATTTACATGAAGATACAGCTATATTTACCTGAAACTGTATGTATAGCTATTTTTACCTGGAACAGTATGTATAGATATATTTACCTGGGCATGTAGGTATAGCAATATTTACCTGGTCATGTAGGTATAGCCTTATTTATCTGGACATTTAGGTATAGCAATATTTACCTGGTCATGTAGGTATAGCAATATTTACCTGGGCATGTAGGTATAGCAATATTTACCTGGGCATGTAGGTATAGCAATATTTAGCTGGACATGTAGGTATAGCAATATTTACCTGGGCATGTAGGTAGAGCAATATTTACCTGGGCATGTAGGTATAACCATATTTACCTGGACATGTAGGTATAGCAATATTTACCTGGGCATGTAGGTATAGATATATTTACCTGGGCATGTAGGTATAGCAATATTTACCTGGACATGTAGGTATAGCAATATTTACCTGTACATGTAGGTAAAGCAATAATTACCTGGACATGTAGGTAAAGCAATATTTACCTGGACATGTAGGTAGAGCAATATTTACCTGGGCATGTAGGTATAGCAATATTTACCTGGACATGTAGGTAAAGCAATATTTACCTGGACATGCAGTTTATCCTGGAAACTAGGGATATTACAACAAGTACAAGGTGATAGAATACAGTACAACCCAACACATCGTAATAATATATAACACATGCACAGTGCAGAACAATACAGTACATTAACAAATTGACAACACTTATAGTGAAGTACAATACAACGCAATAAAACAACGCAATAAAACAAATGACAATAGAGAACTGTGTGATACATGAGTTTGGGTGAAATGGGGTTTAACGTCGCAGTCAAGATTACTGCACTTATATTGCGACGTGCTTGCACGTGGGTGTGGGTGTGGGTGTGGGTGGGGGTGGGTGGGTGTAGACCATTGCCATTTTAACAGCGCTCGCCCACCGAGAAACCATACCATAGTTAACCATGGATATCCCACTTCGATACAGTATACCGACTCCGAGCCGTCCAGTCCATTTTGTTACCCCCTTATTGCCGAACGCCAGGCAGGGTAACAACAAGCTTGTACCACATTTAAACGTACTTTGGTATGACGCAGCCGCGGGTCTATGGGCCTGTGCATCTGACACAGCAGACATTCTCTTGTGTCGTTTGCCCTTAAATATTGAAACAGGGCGATAAAATGAAAGTGTTTGATGTCGTGCATTCCGCAAAAGTAGCCCCCCGTGAAACATTGCAGTCACGGGAACTCAATTGGCAAAATGCTTAAGCTTATTTCAACACAGCTCCAGTAGAACAAAATAATTGAAGTCATTTGTCAATATCAGCGGTATTACGCGAAGCCGGGGATTGGCCTGTTCTTAGTGGCTGTGAATGAAACAAGTAAAGAATTAAACCGATGCCGCCCTTCAACATGCCAGCGACAATGAGATATTCATGCCCAGGAAGGAAAACAAATCCCTCCGAGATAAGCTGCTTATTCTTCGCCCAAAATTACCCTCATCGCATAACACCCTCGCCTTGACATTGATTAGGTTATGACCTTGAGATTCTTTTTCCTTCCAGGTCACCATCGTCCAGGCCCTAGTCAACGCCTAATTCAGGCGCGTCGTGGATCCACTCCGTCTCGAACCACGCCCCCACGGACAACCACCCCCACCCCCGGGGGGACCTCAACGATGAAGTCGCCGCGGAAAATGTCCGTGCCGGGCCCAGTGTCTTCAAAAACTTCCTCCATTTCCGTCATTCGCAGTAAATCCCCTGGTCCGGTGTCCCGGAAGCTTCCTACCCCTCAACAATTGTCTTGTCAATCAAACCAGCATGCTAGTCAACTTGGAAGGAAATCTCCCCTACCCTCCAGACTCAGGAGTCCGTCCCCGGTGTCTCATGGGGGTCGAAAACTTCCCACTCCCAAAACAAGTCAGGGACCGCCGACGCCAAGTCGACGTTCGGCCTCCCCGGGACCAAGACAAAGGGACACTACTCTATCTGATTCAAGGTAATATAACAGAGTTACTTCCCTTGATATCAGCGCTTCATTACATGACATGAGAAGCGTCGTTAGTTACACACGTTACACACGTGGGTATTTATGACTTATAGTTCTTAATGAACAAATCCAAGTTCACATATAATTCTTGGCATCGATTATGAACGGTTGGGTAATCAAGCGGTTTAAGCATTAGCTCTTCATGCCGGGAATGTACAAAAGGCGGGGTAAGATCGTGCACGCCCTCTACAAATATGGGCAACGACTGTTTGCAATTTAGCTCATCACCTCTGTTTCCGAACCAAAATGGGTATTTGTTGGTCACGCTCTGTGACGTAGCCGATTGCCTGTAATCCTACCCCGATGACGTAAATAGTTGCTCATGTTTTCAGTCTCTGTTTTTTCTGGTCCAGACGAGATTATTTACACGTCGCTATCATGTATAGGTGAACTAATGATCATTGCTGCTATTTTCACGTATCCCACAATTGCAACCCTAATGTGAAGATCCCGGTTAGAATTGGTCTTCAGCAACTCATGCTTGTAAGAGGCGACTTACGGGATCGGGTGGTCAGGCTTGCTGCCTTGGTTGATGCATGTCTTAGTATCCCAATTGCGTAGATATATAGGTGCATATGGTGTCAATAAATGAATAATCTGGTTCAGACTCAACTATTTGCAATATTGGTCAGGGCGGTTTCAAACAACAAACAAACAAAACAACAATTCACAGAGGGATTTACGTTTTACTTAAAATCTTGGACTTGGTCTCAGCACGAAAATCTGACATTATTTAACCATCAACTGAGGCAATCGGATAATACACGCGAGCCACAAGAAACAACATGACAGGCATATGTAAGTGTTAAAAAAACGCCGTGCCGTGAGACAATCACGTTTAGCTCTGGAATGTGAAACTCGAAACCAGAATTTTAATCAATAGGCCGAGGTAACGGAACGTTCTTCCCGACATTACCTGAGTGTTTATGCCTCCCGCGACTCCGTGTGACGTCACAGTGCCTGACTGGTCATATTGTAACCGAGGGTGGGGAGAGGGGTGTTGATATCAGGCGCTTAACATTTGTGTGAGCTGAGTCAACCACGGTTACCACTGCATATACCTGGCAGCAAGGATTGACTAGATTCAACCTTTGTCAACCAGCGTTAATCAAGGAGATTTCAGGGCAGTACACAAAATAAAACGCATAAAATGCAACCTTGGTTATTATGATGGGCGCCAGAAGGAGAAACACGAGCCATTGCTATAACATACAACTATGAGAAGTTAAGAAGTGTTTCGTTGCTTGACAAAGCTTCCTTTGTATCTTTTCTTTTTATTGCATGAGGGGCGGTCGGGTAGCCTAGTGGTTAAAGCGTTCGCTCGTCATGCTGAAGACGCGGGTTCGATTCCCGACATGGGTACAATGTGTGAAGCCTATTTCTGGTGTCCCCCGCCGTGATATTGCTGGAATATTTCTAAAAGCGGCGTAAAACCATACTCACTCACGCAATTTTATTGCATGTTAAACGACAGGGATATTAAAAATATCGCGTAAAACACCAATCGAGATGCAAAATCATCATCAAAGTTGCATTATTGATTTTAAAGTATTTATATCATCAATCGAAAGTAGAATGTCCCTGACGCATATCTGAATACAAATATGCTATCAATACCTGGTTAATTCTGTTCAGTTAAACTCTTATCTTGATGTAATCAATACATGAAACTAATTGGCTTTAACGATGCCGTCACTCGGAGGCTGCTAACCAGAGTACCGCACCCCAAGGGTTCAGGAGGTGTGGGTTACTTAGGTCAACCGAAGTATGACGTAAATCAGTTAACATGAGCTAATATTGGTCAACCGAGGTTAACTTGGGTTCAACCCGCGAAGATCCGGGGTAGAATAGGTCTTCAGCAACCCATGCTTGTTGTAAGAGGCGACCATGCTTGTCGTAAGAGGCGACTAACGGGGTCGGGTGGTCAGGCTCGCTGACTTGGTTGATGCATGTCATCGTATCCCAATTGTGTGGATCGATGCTCATGATGTCAATCACTGGATTGTGTGGTCCAGACTCGATAATTTACAGACCGCCGTCATATAGCTGTAATATTGCTGATTGCGGCTTTAAACAAACAAACAAACAAACAAACATAACTTGGGTTCACTTGAGTGGTTTTGTAAATGAACGCACGCAGTGTCAAATGGACACTGGTCTATTGTGTAACAGTGATGGCGGTGAATATGGTGGTGGGTAGATGGTAGTTAAAAGTTTGTTCTTCACATCGAGTAGTGGATTTTATACCCCAAATGAAGCCCCTTCTCACTGACCCCACCCCGTTTTCTCCAACGACGTAATATGGTCAGAGGGGCGGTGGGGTAGCCTAGTGGTTAACGTGTTCGCTCATCACACCGAAGACCTGGGTTCGATTCCCCACATGGGTACAATGTGTGAAGCCAATTTCTGATATTGCGGTAATATTGCGGCGTAAAACAATACTCACTTTCTGATATGGCTAGAACATTTTTAAATGCGTCGTAAAACCTAATTCATTCATTACGCTTTTGTTGTGATACCCGATTGCCCTCTGTTTTGCTTGCTGATTCCTGGTATAGTTTTATCAAATCATTCTCATACTTCAAACCCAATGGTCTGGAACAACGGGTTATAGTCATTGCAGCAGCTCGGTCGGCCTCAGCCGGGTAGCATGAACACAATAACTGTAAATTACAGGCCTCGACGTGGCCTATCAGTTGTATTGCAGGTTAGCGTCATTGTGTTTGGGCCTCGCTTTGTGGCTCTCAGTCCCAGGTATTGACAATATCGGCCAACAACGGCCAACATCGTGGCGGTACTCTATGAGTTGTATTGAGTGAGTGAATGAGTATAGTTTTACGCCGCTGTTAGCAGTGTTCCATCAGTATCATGGCGGGGAGCTGTATTGAAATAAGCACGAATTATGCGATGTGGAGTGTTATTACGTGTATATATATTTACCTAGATATTCAGTCTAGCCATAAGGTTTGTGGATGATAATTACATATAGTTAAATGTTATGTGTATTTTCATTGGTTTATATTGACATATTTTGCTCTGTAGTTAAAAGCAATTGATTTAAGAAAAGCACACGAAAGATCAATGTAGGATATGAGACTCACAATTAGGGTTAGTATCCATACAACGACGAGTGTTATATCTGATAGTCGAGGAGAAATGCTCATATTACTGAACAAAAATCAATCTGATTCTTATTGTCGCCAACGACAGCACTGACAAGCACTGCCAACTCGTCTGTATGTCTTAATGAACAAACAGCGTTTGACAAATCACCCGTGGTTGTGTGTACATACCCATGTCTAGCATTCTTAAATGATGATATTCTAGTCATATTTCTCGTCTCCATAACCTACCCGATGTCCCTTATAACGGAATATGACCTAAATCATTAGGCTTCCAATTGTTGCCTCAGGTTTAAACCATACTATGGTATATTCTGTAAACCTCATTAAACAGCCCTCTTGTGCTGTCTAACCGGCTGTTGGGTTGTGAATGCCCTCGCTGTATTGAGTGTGTGGAGACAGGTCTGAACCCATATACCGTTGTAGGTAGAATCTCCCCGTGTCACGCCTCAGGTCGGTATTATTGTCAGAGGGCCGGGTGCGCCGTATTCAATATGGCCCCCGTGGTTGCGACGGACTCACACACACATTATCAACTCGGTGATTGATTATTTACAAGAGTTATTGGACGCTGAATATCTCCGTGTTTACTTGTTGATATTTACACTCATGTGACACCCCCTAGTCACAATGGTCATCGTTGGAGGAGGGGTCAGTTTTTACCTGGCGACGCGGAGTGAGGATTTTTACTTGGGCCTGTGAAGGTATGTGGTTGTGTATATAGTTTTATAAGGCGCACTCGCTTAGCCGAATGTCGATCTTCGTGGAAGGTTATTTCGATAGAAGATCGTGTTACTCGACAGTATATGTCTAGACGCACATGTAATATGAGGTACAGTTTGGTTTTGACATAATTTCCACATGCTGTCGTATCATGTTTCTAACGGGACGCATGTGTTGGAAATGGGTAGGGAGCGTTATATCAAAGGAATTATCATACCCCTACAGTGCATAACGTGATATTGGCCACGATTAATGGAGGCTAGGGCAGATTCCAAGTAGGACAAGCGTGGGATATATTATTTTATCATCCAAAACAGGCTTCCCAGGATATATCGCTGGGGTGAGATCAAGCGATATCTTCCGGGAGATATCGCTACAATGAAATTGTAGCGCAGTGCTTTGCAGACCATTGTGACGTCACTAATCTCTGCCACTGAAGCTGGTAGCATTACTATTTATCCCCGGACACTAGTTATTACTGTTTACAGACTGAAAGATTGGAAGAATGATAAATAGAATCTCACCCTCGTGTCTCACGATGGTGAGATTACGTACTCCTGTCACAGGTGCCATATATAAGCCAACCGCTGTCGGTATTTTAGTGACAAAGAGGTACACACGTTTAAGCACAAGCGATATACATATTTTCAAATGTTCAGAGCCCCCCACTTTCAGTTATGATAGACGAAAGAAGAGGACAAAATTCTTCCCACATATAACTGAAATCTAGGTATACACGTCTATCTGTGTCTATCTTAGATAGCGTAGTACCACATCTAACTTTGGCAAGTGCCGAACAACATAAACGTGTCATAAACAATGCTTAACAACTGCGGTGACAGACAAACCAAATATATCAAATACAGCCCATGCAAGTATAGAATGTTTGGCAAGTCTAGATTTCTGCAATATCTGAAAATGGAGAGTCTCTGGGCTCCGTTTTATTAAATGTTTATCAAGATAATTTAAGAACTTTTTTTCCTGTACGATATGTTCAATTCAGAGACTAGATGTTAGTCTAGCCCATCACATGTCTGTATTCACGCGTGTGTATTATGGATAATATGCCTTAGGCCTATATGTACGTAAATTGCAAAGCTATTT